GGGACAATAAAATTCTAATTTGATATCAAATAATAATGTATTAAAATGCTCTCCCTGTCAACAGAGTGTTTTCTATTCCTCTCAATGTGATTAGATGAAGAGAGGTAGGAATATAAATTTATTTTGAGCTTAGTATATTTTGAAAGGAAATTAACTTATTGACGTAACATATTTGTGTGTGTGAAGATATATATGTGCATGCGTTAATAAATTTGTGTGTGTGCCTGGTGAGAGATGAAAATAGAGAATGAAATAGAGAATGAATATTCATTTTAAGTCTTAAAGTGCAAAAGCTGTTGATCTATTCTGATGGCACCCTTATAAAAATCTCAACTGGTAATCAATAAAATTCTTATCTGTGGAATGGAGCTTGCTATTTGTCTGGACTATCTAAGCATGAGTCCTTATGATTTTGATTTTAGCTTCCATAAATTTATATTCTTAAAGAATGGGCCAAGTTGCAATATTATCCTGGACAACTCTAGGAAAATCTGCTTTTCTACTGGTGCTGTTTAGAAAGTGAATTGTCATGTTCGTGTGTGTGTGTGTGTGTGTGTGTGTGTGTGCGCATATGTGTTTAGTCAACACTCTGGGGTATTATTATCAGGACCTCCTTAGTTTTTCTAATCCGTTTTGCCAGTCCGAATATTAATATAACTTGGCTGTCCAGAATGAGGTTTTTTTTTTTGTGTGTGTGTGTGTGTTGGTTGTAGCAAGGAAAGTTGACTAATAGAATAAAAGAGAGAAAGGCACTAACTTTGATGTCACTTGCCACCTGGCCACTCTGTAAAACAAGCTCACACATTGTTTGGTAACATAGGATGGCACTGGGAGCCCAGAGAGGCAATAAGATGACCTCTCTGTTTTAATCATATCTTTTACATATCTTTAAACATATCTTTTCTGATATGTTTTAATCTTCTTAACTTATGACTGTGACTTGCTGCCTCTTTTCAGTCTTTCAGTGGCTCACAGATCCTGTTGGATTACTGATAGCTTCATTGACTAGATGTTCAAGGCCCTTCTACACCCAAAGCCAGCCAGCTTTTCCAGCCTGGCTTCTTGCCATATGCAAACCAAATGGATGCATGTGAACATATTCCCAGGCTTTCCCACAACACACTTTCCTTTGCCTTTCCTCCCAATTGTGAGTGTTCGATTCTTTTTCTTTTGGATGCAGCTAGCAGCTTTCTCTTCTGCTTGTGCTGACCTGGCCCTTTCGCTCTCTGGAGTGTCATCTCCACCACACACTTTATTCCCTCCTTCCTTTGATTATAATCCAATTGCTAATCTTATTTCTACATCTAAACTACAGATTTTAAGCATTTTGGTGTTCATTGGCACAAGATGTATTGCTCTGCGATAGTTTTTAGGTCAATACACAATTTTCAGGGGTTCCTTGCAAATGATAATACAGGAACCCTGTTTAAAAACTGTCTGAAATTTCATGATGAAATCCAAGCATTAAATCAATAATGGGATTCTTATGAGTGCAGTCCCTTTGCTACTGTGCAAGCCATACACCCCTGAAGCTGAAATAGTGATGACTGTTCATTCTTCACACACATTCCCAGGATAATTATTCTTGGTATCATTTATTTTGTGAGATGGCATAACACTATCCAAAGCATATAATGAAAGGTATTCTTAAAATTCAGAATACCAAAATCAATTAAAATTTCCTATTATGCTTAGAATAATTTATTTTCACATTTGCCATGCATTTAACAAATTTGTTTATCCCTCACTTATAGAGCATAAAACAGTTTTACTTACTCAAGTCAATCCAAATTTTTCCTTATGACTCCATGTTTAGAAGACTCAACTGTCTGTAACTGCAGTTCCAGGGGCTCTGATGCCCTCTTCTGGCCTTCATGGGCATTGTATTACATGACTGCACTTACATACATGCAGGCAAAACACTTATATGCATAAAAAGAGAGAGAGAGAAAAATTTGATCTGAATTTTCTGGCATACATAAAGAAGCAAAGCAATGTTGATTTCTGAAAACCAAAACTTCTGGGAAGTGAGGATCCAACTCTTGGAATTCTCAGTGGGGTTTGTTCTACATTCCAGCGCCTTCATAGTGCAGAATGCCAGAAGGAGCAGCAGGGTGAATGGAAGGGTTTCTGCCCCATTCTTCTCCTCATTCTCTTAAATAATCACATTTGGAAGCTGAGCAAAGGGAACATACTGGTATGGATACAAAGCACAGCTGTTACCTAAAGGGGATGAGACATCATTTATCCTGAGTCAAATGTGAATGGTCATGACCTGGGAGCACTGATTCAGGTTGTCTCAAATACCATGTTCCAAAGTAGAAAAAGTTTTATGAACTTTTCAGAATTACAGAAAAAAAGAGTCATAAATCAAAGCACTTTTCAAATATACTGGTAGAAACATCAAGCAGGAGACACAGCAAGCTTTGACATCTCTGCTATAGATTTCAGATGTTATCTGATGACATTCTTAGCATCTGGGTTTTGGAAGCCAGAGTTCTATTAAGTTTATACATTCCAAAAGATCCACTTGATAGTCACAATTATGTTAAGTCATACCCAGAGCTAGGTAATGAATAGCCACTAAGGGGTAAAGATAGTATAAGATCATTTGTTTCCTTCTGGTTCTGCAACATCTCAGCTCTCCACAATCACAAATTCTAATCATTCGGTCATACTTGTAGAGTCTGTAGAATAAGCATAGAAATTTTTAGAGAACTTCAGTTCACACTAGTTATACATATGTACTACCAGTATCCAAGGATTTTTTCTTTATTGTCACATAAAGAAAATTATAGTCTATTTTAGGTTTTATTTTTATTTCAGTGTATTTACCCATTTGGTAGCTGCCATTCATACAATTTGGCCCCGTCTTTGCTGTTCAAGGCCACATGAAACTTTGATTCTGGCCCTTTATTTAGTCATTTTTGTTTTGTGACTGTGCTACACGTTCCCTGATGGAGACAAAGATGTTCCTATATAAACATAACAAAATGTTAAATAAAATAAGACAAAAATAAGGAAATAAAAATAGCTCAAAGGGTAGCGCTAAGAAGTATGGTGTGACAGTTGGTGGTCCAGCAATATGGTTGCCATTCGCCAGCTCTTTCCACCCTGTGTTTTTAAAGATGGCTTCTGGAAAATAAGCCAAACAATTCTCGTGGTCAGTTTGTGCAGCTTTTCTCTGAGCATACTCTCTAGTGCTGCTGTGGGTAGTGTTCTCTACATCTAAAGTACCATTGGAAGGTTGCTCTATGACCA